TATATTTCAATTTTTATATGACATAACCTTACTTTTTATATTTAATAATAATAATAATAATATTTATATACTCGTATATATAATTAATATAATATTATATTAATTAATATTATATATATATATTATATAATATTCAATTATTTTAATTTATAAACAACATAACCTCACTTTTTATATTTAAGTAATAATAATATTTAATAATATTATATAATAATAATTAAATAGTAATATTATACTAATTAATATTTATAATAATTATTATATGTTAATTTATAAACATATATTATACTAGGTGAACCGAAAAGTAATGTAGTCGCATTTGAAAGCTTTAAATTCAAACAAATAAAGTTGCAACAATAATTAATTAATTTTTAAATATTAATAATAATAATAATAATATAAATCACCAATCAAATCAAATGATCAACAACCTTTGTTCATTTAGTTCACAAATTTTTTCTAATATCATATCCATAAACATCAATGAAATTTTTATTTAAAAAAAAATTATAAAAAAATTCACGTAACATACTTAGAAACGACGTTACTTTTTGGTCACCCTATTATTGTGTTAGTATTCTTTTATCTTAGTGTTTTTTTTTTTTTTTTTTATTTATATCAAGGAAGTTGTTACAAAGCGTGCCAAGTGTTTGGTAATGAGCCGGTGTTGTCTCTTCCTTGCGAGTTCGTTCGCCCTTACGCATCTTCTACCATATATTCATGTATGTATGTGTGTGTGTGTGTGTGTATATTCGCTCGAGTGGTCACGCGTGTAGAGAGCCTTGACCTGCCACCGTGGCTTTCTCTCCTTTTTCCTTTTTTTTTCCTTTTTTTTCCTTTTCTATTTATCCATTTATCTATTTATCTATTTTTCTTTCCTTACATACACAAAATTGATATTAATGATGTATGTGTGTAACATATGTGACTTAAGCTATTAAAAAGCCTAATATTTTCTTTATTAGTGTTAAAATTTTAATGGTAATGTAAATGTAATACATTTGAAGCTTTTTATCTCTTTTTCTAAGTATTATTTTCGGCAGGTGTTGTTACAATTGTTTAAAGTTCTACCTGCATGATATTCTAACCGACCTACTTATTTATTACAATGGCACCTGTGTGAACAAGTAACGCGTATTTTTTTTCTTTTTCCAGATATTTTAACTGTTTTCTTTTATTTTCTCATTCCTTTGATACCAATCTTAACCTCTTTTCTGTTACAAGTTAAAACAAAGATATGATTGTTTGGAAAATAGAATACTGAAATATATGTGAACAATTATAAATTGAATAATTGTAAGTAAACACGTGTTACAATGTAATATAATTATTTAATTGATTATATTATTCGTTTAATTGTAGGAACAATAAGAAAAGATTATTCTTATTAGGTATACAGCATTGTTTCCGCCATTTTTCTATGAGCCATCTGTAGGAAAATAGTGGAAACAAGGTTGTACACTTAATACAAGAATTGGGATACTCAAAAAGTTTGAAAGGTTTGATCTGTGATGGTTTAATAAATTATAGAAGTAATTTGAATTAAATAATTGTAAAAAAAAAACAACACGTGTTACAATGTAATATAATTATTTAATTTATTATATTATTTGTTTAATTATAGGAACAATAAGGAAAGATTATTCTTATTAGGTGTACCACTTTGCTTCCGCCATTTTCCTATAAGCCATCTGTAGGAAAATAACGGAACTAAGGTACACCTAATACAAGAATTTGGATACTCAAATAGTTTGAAAAGTTTCAAAGATGGTTTCATAATTTATGAAAGTAATTTAAATTGAAAAATTATAAATAAACACTTTTTACAATTAAATACAATAATTTATTCAATTAATTAAAAATATATATTCATTTAATTATATAAAAAAAAAAGAAAAAAAAATGAAAAGATCAAAGACTCTCTTCATTGAAGAATTAAAAAAAAAAACTCAAAAAGGATTTGAGATTGAAAAGGTTGAAAGGTTTTCTAAGATGATGTATGATGGATTGATGATTAATAATTTATTGAAGTAACTATAGAAGAATAATAACACCAATGAAAGGGGGACTATCTTTTGCACGTTTCCGTGCAAAGCTTTCTATCCTTTTCCTACTCCTTCATGGAAGCGTAGCAAAGTAAAAGAAAAAGGAAGAAGAAGAAGAGAGTCTTGGTCAGGGCCGTAGTCAGACCGAGGTCAATGTCCAGGCGGCGCCTGTAAGATCCTCGAACCAGCGGCAGAAACGACGGATAGTGGGGCAGGTCGTGTTTTTAACATCGAGAAAAAGAAAAGCAAAACTTACAAGAGGTTCTGCTTGTGTACGGTAGAAAAGAGGATACGGAAAGAAGACGACATATAAACACACACACACACACACACAGACAGACACACACACTCAGATACTTGTTTTAGTTTCCACCAATGTGCTTGTTTGGTTTGTTGGTTGGTTACTTACTCCTTTCGGTTGTTTGTTTGCTTGCTTGCTTTCTTTTTCGATATACCACGTGAATTCTATTTTATTTCAATTACTTTCTATAATAGTAATTCATACTACTTTTAGTTGTATCAGTTTTGTTTTGTACATGAAAGTTTTAAGGTTAGGTTTATGAATGTTTTATTGTAGGATTTATTAACATTGTTCTAAAAACAATAACCTTCATTTATTTCACTCATTAAGGGGTTTAGTAGAATGAAGGAATTAACAATCAAATACATTGCACATAGTTGATTTTTTTATAATTAAAAAAAAAAACAATAGATTATTTTGAAGATGGGTGTGTGTGAGGATCATCAGATTCATCGAACGAATCACACGAAGTTAACAAAATCAAATGCATTGCATTGTATGTTAAATTGTTTTTGAATTTTATGGATAAATTGATTATTTTTGCAATTTATTGTTTGATAAATTGAAACCAAAAATTAAACAGTAAATTATTTTGAAGATGTGTGTTTGTGTGTGAAGTTCATCAGACAAAACAAATCACACGAAGTTAACAAAATCAAATGCATTGCATTGCATTGTATATTAAATTGTTTTTGAATTTGATGATAAATTAATAATTATTTTTGCATCGTATTTTTAAATAAATTGAAACTAAAACAATGTAAATTAATTTTAAAATGTTTGTGAGTCATTCAAATCACTGAACGAATCACCAGCATTGAACTCACCAGCATTGAACTCACCGGCATTGAACTCACCAGCTTGGAATAGAAAAGCGACTAACTTTTTCGGCGTATCAAATTAATTTGAGCATTGAAAACAATTTATTTAACAAAAATAAGATCTTAACAATTAAATACATTGCCTATTATATTTTTTTTATAATTAAAAAAAAAGAAATAAATTATTTTAAAGATGGGTGTGTGAGAATCATCAAATCACTGAACGAATCATACGAAGTTAATAAAATCAAATGCATTGCATTGCATATTAAATTGTTTTTTTAATTTCATGAATAAATTTATTATTTTTGCACATTAACATTAAACAAATTGAGACCAAAAAAAATTAAATTATATTGAAAATGTGTGTGTGAGAATTATGAGATCATCGAACGAACCACACGAAGTTAACGAAATCAAATGCATTGCATTGAATATTGCATTGTTTTTGAATTTTATGAATAAATTAATTATTTTTGAACATTATCATTAGACAAATTAAAACCAAAACTAAATTAATTTAAAGATGTGTTAGTGTGGAGGGGTTCATTGGACAGAAGGAATCACACGAATAGAAAAAAACCGTGGTACCAGCATGAGTTATTCGGCTTTCATCGTTCGTTCGTTACTTACACGAATTGAAACTACGTTTAAAGAATATTAATGTAAATTCCATCATGAAGTATCTTTCTATCTCATTCTTTATCTATCTTTCATTATCTTTCTTATTTTGTTTCACAGTAGAAAAAGGTGTTTCCTTTAATTCGTTTATTCGTTCATTCACTCGTTCGTTCGTTCGTTCGTTCGTTCGTTCGTTTTAAAGTTAGTATAAACGACATTACGAAGCACGAAGTTGCTCAATAGTTACGTCCCTGACTTTGAACCAAGGCATTCTTCACCGTGGGAATGCTGTGAGAGAAAGAGATACATAGATAAAGATAAAAGAAAGATAGAACTCTAATACACGAGGAGTCAGTTCACACTTGTCTCAGAACTAAATAAAAAAAAACTAAATCCTAACACCAACATAAAACCAAATTCTTAGACCAACAAAAAACAATATTCTGAGACTAACCAAATTTTTCAATGAGGTGATTTAAAGGTAGATGGTTAATATCAGTCAATCAGATGATAAATAATTGAAATAATTGAAATAAGAATTAAAGAATTGATGGTTTTAATATTAAACGTGTAGTAACACGTAACGTTGATCTGTCAAATGATCGTTTCCTGTCATTTATAAATAAAAAAAAAATATAAAAAAATAACAATTCGATGAAAGTGCGTATAAAATTTATACACTACACATTTATTGTTAAATAAATTAATAAATAATTAATTTATCGTATTAAATATACAATATAATAATAAAATAAATAATAAAATATTATATAATTATTATTAATATAAATATATACAATTTTAATTAATTTAATATCTAACACAATATTATTTAATAAAATAATAATTAATTATTTAATAAAATAATATATTGTGTTAGATATTAAATTAATTAAAAAAATCAACAACGATCATTTGACAAATAATTTTTAACACAGTAAATAATTAATTATATAAATCAAAGTACTTTTTGTTGTTGTTGTTGTACGTTTAGTGAATTTTCAGTTCTCTCTCTCTCAAAAAAGAAACCCCTAACATTTATTGTACAAAACACATCCCCCATAAAAATAATCTTTCTCTTTATTCAAATAAGATGATTTTCAAAATGTCTTTCAATTTCAATTTTTCAATTGTTTCATCACAATTTAAATAAATAGATCTAGCAACAACAAAAATATCTTCACTTTCAATGATAATTAACTTGCCACGTACCTTGCCGTGATATCTATCCACACGTCACCTTTAATATCTGCTTCTCTTTCTTCTTGGTTTCACCTTGTCTCTCTGTTCACACGATATTATCTATACATATACATATACATATATACATATATATATATATATATATATATATATATCACTTCAAAAAAATTGTCAAAATGTCAAATTTTTCGCGTCTACACACAACGATGATCGCAAAACTTGATCCCCAAAATATTCAACAACCGCGTAACGATACTACCGATAACGATATATAACGATCAAAATTTATTAAGGATTTTTAATTAAGGGAAAATTTTTTAAGGAAAACTCAGCGGATAAAAAAAAAAGAAAAAGGAAAAGAAAAAGGGGTCTGGGGGGGGGGGATGAGGAGAGGGACGAGGAAATTCGTTCAACGATCGAACGAACACACGCGCACGTTCCTTCCTTCCTCAACACTTGGATTGTTTCGTTTATTTATTAATTTGTCATATGATGACAATTAAACAAATAAAATTAGAAAGATAGAAAAAGAGAGAGAGAGAGAGAGAGAGAGAGAAAGAAGAATAAAGTCCAAAAATTAATCGCACGAAAAATTAAAGCAAAAAAGAAACCAAAAAAAAAGTGGGGGAGAGAAAAAAAAGGGATGAAGAGAGAGAGAAAAAAAAAAGGTAAAAACGTGTTCCTGATAGGTAGGCTGTCGACACGGGTCTGTCTTCGAGACGGCGCATCGGGCCCACTTTATAAACCGAGTAAGACCCCGCCACGAGTACTGGAAGAGTCTACTTTGCCGATCTAACTTACAAAAGGATTGGATGTAACCGGTTAAAGATGCTACACTATTGGCCAGTTGAATCTAGCGGTACCGTCGCTACGTACGAATAGGAGGGGGGGCCTGATGATGGGTCGGTGGGAAAGGGGGAAAGGGATCGATCCTCTTCTCATGCTCTCGTCTCTTTCCTCTCTACGAAAGAACTTCGAGAAGCATACGACGATCTAAGGGAACTAACTCATAGTTTGTGTTTCCTTCTTCTTCTTCTTCTTCTTCTTCTTTTTCTTCTTCTTCTTCTTCTTCTTCTTCTTCTTCTTCTTCTTCTTCTTTTTCTTCTTCTTCTTCTTCTTCTTCTTCTTCTTCTTTTTCTTCTTCTTCTTCTTCTTCTTCTTCTTCTTCTTCTTCTTCTTCTTCTTCTTCTGGTGCTGCTACTTCTACTTCTATTTCTTCTTCTTCTTCTTCTTATTCACCAGTCCAGGTTAGTTACTCCCTGTAATTAGGTAACAGTGACATTTTACCGTTTTCCCATTTTGTCTTCTTTTCATTCTGTTACTATNCAAATGTTCTATTATCTATTTATCTCAATTTAATTATGCAACAAAATATAAAATCTTTCTTTTTACTTTTTTGTATTTATAATAATAATAAATAAAAATATTGATCCAGTTAATATTTATTTTATTACAATTTTTAAACAATTAATATTTAACAAATAAAATTATATATATATATATATATATTTCATTAGGTAGCTAAGAACCAACATATATTGTAAATTAATATATAATATTTATATTAATAATTAAATAATTAATTTATAATATTGTAAAATTGTTTAATTGCATTAATTTTATAACTAAGTTTTATAAATATTTATAAAATTTTATAAAAGCCTCGTAAACTAGCCTCATGAAAGAGCCTTGTCAACGAGCCTTATCAACGAGCCTCGTGAAAGAGCCTCGTGAACGCGTTTCATGTTAAGCGTTTCATGTTAAGCGTTTCATTTTAAGTGTTTCATGTTAAGCGTCTCAGATTAAGCGTTTCATGTTAAGGGTTTCATGTTAAGTGTTTCATGTTAAACGTTTCATGTTAAGCGTTTCATTTAAGGAATAAGAAAAATTTGTTTGCATAGTTACGGATCGATGGTGTATCGGTGATGATAGTACTGATGGTAGTTGGTTAACTTCAACGTTACCTTTGATTCCCATCGGCCATCTGTAACTGCCATAACTCGGAATACCCAAGATAGGACGGTTATGTTGCACACGCGTTAAATTAATCTTACTCGTTAGTTTTTTCTCTTACCTTGACCTTCCTTCATACCATCTTGATCTATTCCCTTAAACCTTCCCCCTTGAACCCCCTTCAACAAACTCATTAGTATGGGCCACCTGCCGATGTTATGTCGTGTTTCATCTTTCTTTAAGATATACCTAATTGTAACTATTATTTCTTATCTTTTGCAACAAGACACACATCTCAAGTAATCCTACACACACATTACTAACACTATTACTACTACTATAAAATAAAATAATAATAAATAAATAAATAAATAAACTCAAAATAATAATAATAATAATATATTATAATAATTATATAATTGACGGATTATTTATAATTATAAATAAAATTTTAATTAATTTTCATAATTTATTATATCACATATAAAATAATTTAATATAATAATTATATAATTTATTATAATATATTTTTAAAATATAAATATTTATATTCTAATAAATATTACAAAAATGATTTTATTTATATATATAAGAAAAAAAAAATCAACTACATGAACTTAGTACTATTTTTATCAACCCTACAATAGATAGATAGATAATTAGATAAATAGATAGACAAGGGTGAGAAAATAATAATTGGAAAAGTAACGTCGTCATTCGTACGGTAACTTAAACTTGTATGTATGTATGTATACATGTATATATGTATGTATGTATGTATGTATAGGAACATAATTCATAGATGAAGGCCCAGCAACGAAACAATCGTACCTACCTAACTGTCGGTAAGAAGGATTCACCTTCCTCTTCCTCCCACCTCCTCCTCTATCCTCCTCCTCCCTCCTCCTCCTCTATCCTCTTCTTTCCTCATCCCTCTTTCTCTTTTTCTAGCGAATAGCGGACGAAAGGTGTAATTTGAGTTTAAAACGAACAACATGTATTCAAAGTTCACGTTCCAAGATCTTTTCGGAACAGAGAAATAAAAAGAAAGAGAGAAAAAGAGAAAGAGAGAGAGAGAAATGACGACTATGATGATGATGATAATGATGATGATGATGATGATGATGATGATGATGATGATGATGATGATGATGATGATGATGGANTATGATGATGATGATAATGATGATGATGATGATGATGATGATGATGATGATGATGATGATGATGATGATGATGATGGAGAAAAAGAGATAGAAGTTTAGAAATCTCTGTCATAACTTTAACTTCCATGCAGTTTCAGCACCGTAAAGGTAATGGCATTTACCGACGTCCGAACCGTGAAACTGTTGTTATTCGTAAAACGACGAAAGAGAGATGTAAAAAAGGGCTGCTGTACAAGGGAAAAAAGAAAAGGGGAACAAGGGAACAAGGGGGTAAGTGAAGAGAGAAAGAAAAAAAAAGAAAGAAAGAGAAGTTGAGATAGTAGAGTAGGATTTTGAGAATTTTCTTTCTTCTTGTTTGCAACATTGGAATGTGAAATATCAAAAGATCTCTCTGAACAATTTTTTTTATTCAATTTAAACCAAATTTTATATGGTTGTGTTAAAGTTATTTATTATGGGGGGGAGGAGAGGGGTAGAAAATATACTATAGGATTAAAACTAGCTTTATATATATATATTTGTAAATCACTTACATAGGTTATTTACAACCAATAAGGGTTGATACGTACCATTAGCAATAAAAAAAAAAAAAAGAAACCAAGGAAAAATTCCAAAATTCTAGTTTAACACATTGTACGCCGGCCCCGCGAAACCGCGGGTTTCTGAGTTTGTCGCTTGAGTAGCTGCCCCACGATGGCGCTCAGGCTTTAAATGTCTTTTAGGTCGCCGGCGTACAATGTGTTAAAACAAAAAGATCAACAAAAATGTGATGGAATTCGAGTTAGATGAATTCCCCTCCCCTTCCCCCTTGCCCTCCCGATTGCACGGTGTACCATAAAAACAAAACAAAACAAAAAAAAACACTTAGCGACAGGACAAAAGAAAAAATAGTTGGGTTAGTTGGTGCATGGAGTGGGGTGAAATGGAGTAAAGTGGGGAGTAGTGGGGGAGAGGTTGGGGTACCACTTCGAAGAAGGTTGATATAATAGCAAGGAAGACATCCGTCATCGACCTTGAACCAGCTTTTACCCGATGCTTGATTATTCCACTTGATGCCCTGTCCTGTGTCCCGTCATTAGACTCCTCTCTCACTCACTCACTCTCTCACTCATTCATTCTCTTTCTCTCAAGCCTTTATCCTCTATCCCCTTCCTCCCTCCTTTCCTGCCCATCTCCTTTTTTTCATCATCTTCCTGCAATATCTTTTTTCTCTTTTTTTTTTTGTTTCTTTTGCCTCCTTCATTCCCTTTACCCATCGTTCGATCTTGCAACAGATACTCGACATAATATCCAACGCCCATGGTCAAGCTGTGTAATCATTATATGCTAGCCTTTACTTGTCGCTGTTTTACCTTTTTTTTCCATGTAACGATTTTCAAATCACTCTTCTTCTTTAGTTGTTGTTGTTGTTGTTGTTTTTTTTTGCCTTGTTGTCTCTTTCTCTTCATCGTCATCATCATCATCATCATCATTATCATTATTATCAGAAGCAACAGCAGAAGTACTAGTACTAGGGTACTAGTACCCAACATCATCAACAGCAATGGCAACACAACAGTGTTTTTATATAATATCATCTAAAGATTTTTCTAGGGTTTTCTTTTTTTGTTTTTTCTTTCTTTTTTAGTAGTATAATATCCTTTGTTGCTAGGGTGATAGCCTTGAAAGAGAATAATAGTTGTAGTGGTAGTAGTAGTAGTAGTGTCTTTAACAAGTTCACATTCAACTATGATAATAGTAGGATGTTGTAAAATGTTGATTTGATATTATTTTAAATTATTTAGTAAATTATAATAATGCAGAAAATAATAGCACTATTAAAAAGTAATAAAAAAGTAAGGTTAGTTGTGTCATATGTAAATTTGAAAAAAAATTGTAGCGAAATAATTGAATTGTAGTACAGCACCATCTATTGAATATTTGCAGAACCTGGAAACTTAAATAACCTCTAAATAATAAATCAATTTTAAATTATTTAGTAACACACAAAATAAGGTTATGTAAATTAATATAATTGAATTGAAATACCATCTATTGAATAATTAAACAACTTACATAACCTCTAAATAATAAATCAATTTTATAAATTATTTAGTAACACACAAAATAGTAAAGTAAGGTTATGTAAATTGAAATAATTAAATTGAAATACCATCTATTGAATAATTAAACAACCTACATAACCTCAAACTAATAAATTATTAAATTAGCAATAAAAAATACAAAATATGTAAAGAATTATACAAAATGAACAAAAAAAATTACATTAACAATCCGTAAAGGAATTTCTTTTTTGTTTTGTTCTTATTATAAAT